GCTACTCTACACTAGCCTACTACTTCAGGATCTTCTGTTCACTATTCTCTCAATCTTGTATCTTTTTTCCCTTTTCTTTTTAAAAATAGTTTAAATAGGGTTGGTTTACCCTCTACTTACATTAATATTAATTAGTCACTATTGCACTGAAGCTTCTTGATATCAAACATATGAGCAGTAGAGGAAATAAATCGAGAAAGTGTTTAGTCACCAATGCGATACAAATTGTGCAAGAGCACTCAGTAACCTGGAATAGGGAAATACCAATTGTAGATTTTTAACCATCTAAAAGTCAGAAGTAATCTTTCAAGGTATGTTTTGCAGTTTCTTCTTTCTCTCCTGTATCTGTGCTAATACATGTGTTTGGAGCTGCAGCAGTTTCTTCTGTGTTATAGAACATATTACTACTTCAAGCATCTTGTTTTTGTGAGGGGCAGTGTCTTGTATAGCAAATATCATCCAGTGCACCAATGCATTGGTGTGTGGCCTCGTTGCACTTCACAAAAGAAGTGATACAAAATGTAGCAGTTACACGGAATGTGAATAGAGCAAAGGTTGAAATCTATGAGGAATTTGAAACTTGGTTGTTTCTTCTTACTCTGTAAATCAGTGTTCATATTAATTCCAGCTAGCATTCCAAACCAAAGGCATAAAGTTGTATTGTTAGTGCAGAAATATTTCTATGTGTAAATTTAACTGTTCTTTCCTTTTAGGCATGCACATAACTTAAACGGAAGGTAAAGAATATGTTATTTTTCTGTTGTTTATTTTTGATCTTGCTGTGAATGATCACTATTTTTTCCTTCTCTCAGTAGTCATAAGGTTATGAGTATCTTGGTCTACAAGAAGACTTCTCAAACAAGTATTTCAATCGTGAAGAATAGCAAAAGACAATTTTATTTTACCTTGTTTTTCCATTTTTACAGTTGGAAGATGATGGGAAGCTATTCTATACCCTTGATGATGGTCATACCAGATTTACTGATCTCATCCAGTTAGTGGAATTCTACCAACTTAATAAAGGAGTGCTGCCTTGCAAGTTAAAACACTATTGCGCACGAATTGCTCTTTAACCAAAGCATCTGTTGTTTCATCAGAGGGAAAGGAAGATACTAGAATACTTTTTCCCCTAAAGGCAATTTATAGAGTAAGAAGGGAAAAAGCATTAAATTGTAAAGATTCTATGTTTTAGCTGCAAAAAAATTTATATTCTGTATAGATAAGAACTTTGCATCGTGATCGTCACAGCAAAACTAACTTTATGGTTTTAAAAAAAAACATTCTGTCCTATGTAATTCTTTGGTGTTGTCTTGGACTTTGTTTTTTTTTTTTCCAACTGGAAACAACTTTTAAAAAACTAATATTGTGCAACTTCTACAAAAATATAACAGAAGGAAAGATCTTTGTTCTTAGGTTTAAAATGAACTTTTTGTCTCTTCAAATTTTCTCATAATTTCTGTTCATCACATAGAAGAATAACATTTACTGTGGTGAGGATAAGAAGCTGAACTGCACATTTTATTTGTAAATAAAATGAATAAATATTTTGCACTATATTTTTGAATGCTACTTTGAGGATTATCATATACAAAAAGTGAAAAATCATTAAAACTACTTATAACTGATCAGTTGTGTTGAGTTGTGCTATTACTTTTTTTTGTATTTGAAAGGATTTCATGTCATGCATAACATGGTTTAGAGTATACCTACAGTCTCTTAACACAGAGAGAGGGAGAGAGAGACCTGTTAAGTACTGTGGATTGTTGCAGAGTTGGGGAAGGAATCGGCTTCAATTGCCCTTAAAAATTAAAGGTAACATTATAATACGTACAAATACACAATATTTACTAATGTTTACAATACTTACAAATAAAGGTAAATCCAGTGAACTTTACTCTTTGTTGAAAACCTGGCAAAGAGTGTATTTGCAATCAGTTCCTAGCTTATTTTATTATTTATCACAGAATAAAAATTTCAATATAGCTACCAGTCAGCCAGTCTTTAGGGATTACAACACATCTAACATTTCAACTAAAAAGAACTGTTAGGGTAGACTGACTCAAATTTTGGACCATAGCATTAGAAATACTTTTGGTATCTTTGTTTTGAAGGAGAGATGATACTGCTGCATCCTTGAGCAAAGACTTGAGTGGAGTGGGGCTAGGGCTGGAAGAGGCGTCCCTGTCCTGATGTTTTGCTGTCCAATAGGTTTGATCTTGTTATGAGGGTTCAGGACCTGGCCCTGGGTATCTTTACTCAAGGTAAAGGCTGGAGTGCAAGGTAGTGCTTGGAGACAGACCATTGCGCTGAATGCAGCCCCTCCTTCACGTGCTCGCTTTCATTCACTTGACTGTCAGACAGACCAGCTCTTCTGCTGCAGGAGTTGGTGGGGAGAGGGGGTGAAGGAGGCCTGTGCAGGGGATGGAGTAAGATGGGACGCGGGGCACAGCAGTGCCCGTGTGTGTAAGCCAACAAGGTCATGTAGATGGAAGCGTTAAAGTAGTATGGTAACTATAGCCTATGGTTTTGTTATTGTGTGTCTGCGGAAGGTAATCATAATAACATAATACTGTGATACTTAATTTACCGACTTGATCCACACATCACTGACCTTTTCCTCTGGTATGCAAATACAGTTTTTAAAGCTCATTAAAAAAGCAACTCTTCATAACATGTACCAAAGCTGGAACATATGTGGTGCTGAAGCTCATTACATTAGGAATGCCTTATAAAACTCTTCACAGTACAATAAATTTAACTCTTAAACATCGAATATAATTTCAAGTTGTAATTACAAAAAATACAGTTTTAATTAAAACCTCTTCAGATTTAGTTTAATAATGAGGTTGGTGTAGAATAAGAAGTAACATTCTCTGCATCCCTGGGATTTTTATCATCTTCTGACAAATGAATTGTCTACTGTAGTCCATTTCTACTTGGACATATGAAAGCTTTGCCATAATTTTTATTTGTATTTATGTATTTGCTAGCATGCTTGGTAGAGAAGCTAACCGCTCGGTGAGTGAGTCACTTTTGAGCCTATCAGAAAAGAAAAGATAATGTGGAGATTATGTCATGTGGTGGAGACACATCAACCATCAAGAATCTTTGCCTGCTTTTTCAGTTTTTTCTTCACAAGTGAAACAAAAAAAAACCCTACATCAAAAAAACGCCATGTAAAACGAAGTATTGCTTAATGAGCATGGCCTTGGGACACTTGAACGTTTCTAACTGGCAAGTATTCAAAGAGTTCTTACTCTGTAAATTGCTGCCTCCTGCATTTTGACAGCTCTCAATAAAAATCTAAACTGAATTCTCTCTGAGAATACAAAATCTTTTTTTACAAATGTGCATACCTTTTCTGAACTATATGGTTGTTCGTGACTATGCCATAAAGAAACCAAACCAGTGAAAATGAATAAAATCTAGCTTGGTGTTTAAATGACTTAGCAGGCTACCTCCTTGTTTAAATATTACTGAAGGAAGAAGCATGAAGGAGGTAGGCTTAATGTGTAAAAACAAAAAACCAAGCCCCCCCAAACAAACAAAACCAAACTATTTGATATCCCAGACTACTTTAAAACATGCAAAATGGCACCAGGTTGTTGAGGTATGGCTTGTGACATCTTTGCTAGCAACCAGTATTTTCTTGTCAGAAAAATGGCAAGGTTTTTTATGATAACACCCAAGATATGTTTGACCATGAAGTTCTTTGAGGGTGTAGGCAATGCTGTTTAAACAGAATTTCAGCATGTTAACTGTGGCTTCTAATTAGGAATACTACATGTCTTTGGTGCCCACCTTCACAGAGAAAATTGGCTAATCAGGAGTTGTTAACAGCTCAGGGAGAAATCAGTACTATTTTGGGCAAGCCAATCTATCTGTCTCCAACGGTTTGCTTCTCTACAAAATGTGGGCAATTTTGTATTACCTCATAGAGGATTTAAGGACTGATTTTTAAAAAAATTACAATTGGTATTGTTTGCAGAGGGCTTTTTTTAATACATGAGGAAGTGAGGTGTTTTTACTTTTGCTTTGAGAAGGTCAGAATCTACAGTCTTAAAACTTCCTGGTGGAAAATCAGTGTCAAAGCATCTAGGTTGGAAGTGTGATATTTGAAAAAGACTTCAGACTTTCTTCAGATTTAAAATTTTGTACTTCTGTGAGTGTGTCTGTGCAGCGCAGTGCAGTGCCGGGAGGAGAGCCCTAAGCTTGCCATGCAGGGGTACCCAAAGCAGCGTAACTGTGCGAGCCCACCTTTCTAGCTGGGGTAATTAGCCCTGCAGGGGTACGCTCTGCAAACTGTGAGCTACTTCAGAGATTGCTCTAAAGCTCAGCGTTGTGTTTGTTGGCATGCCCTTTGTGCCTTCGTTTCCAATCTTAAAATCTTTTTGGCTCAAAGGAGATTAAAAGTTAATTCACTGGTGTTTCATAATGCAGATACATACACGGCCAGTATTAAGGTTGCATGGGCAGCATTAAATGACATTTTTTAACTTCTGAGTGTTTTTCCTTAACAATCTTATTAAGTCACTTAATGAATTTTTTGACATGCAGCAAGTCTTCAGTTCATCAAACTAAATGTTTGAAAGAGAGCTTTAACCAGTTAAATAAAAGGGGATTACGTATGTAACTAACTACAACTGGGATCTTTCAAGGATAATTGAATTTCTGTCAAATGTTGTCTGTTACGTCCCAGTTTAAGAACTGCAGCATTTTGTGCTTCCCTGAAGGTAGAATTGTTCTGTGGTGTAAGTGGGTTTGGGTGCCTAATTTGAAGACATAAATCAGCTTATTTCATGAGAACAGCCTTCTTGTTGTTGTTGTTACATTGTTTAAAGCTAGTCATCTTCATCTAAATAGAAGCCACTGTTTTAACCTACTTAATAGATGTAGCTTGCAAATCAGTCTAGCATTTGTCAGTAAAAAATCTTATACATAGTTTTTGTTACCTTTATTACTTTAGTTTGGAAAAATACAAAGCAACTTACAGCTTACAGCAGTGTCTCTGGTTCATAAAATAATGATTTTTATTACTGTTCTGATATTTCAAACTACCATTCCTTAGAACTGTAATGCATTCCATTTCTAATTTCAACTTCGTAGCTGAAGCTTTCGCTGAAATCATCGAAGATGGGACATACCCCATTACTTGAATATACTTGCAAGCTTTCAGAGGTTAAACACTTATGGTCTATGCATAATCAATGTGTATGGTAGTGCAATTAATGTTAACTTTAATGAAATGCATGAATATTTAAAACTTAATGAATCTAGCTTTACAGCGCGCTTTACAGCCTGGTTCACATATGTGAACAGTATTGACTGTTGGCCTCTGGATGTCAGCAGCGTATCACAAAATTCCTGTAATCAGCCGGCTGTTTTCCTGCTTCCTCCCAGAAATATCTGTGACTTGTGGTCTCTGCACATCTCCAGAACACCCAGTGCTTTTTCCTCTTATAAATTATTCACTTACTCTGTACCAATTAGTTCTACCAGTTGCTAGGTTTGTTATCAAGTTAAGCTTCAAGACAAGAACCTGAACTCAATGAGTGATTAAAAATTTATTAGCAGAGATGATTAAATATGCAGATAGTCTGTGAAGCTTGTTCTTGAAACCATTATATTACCTTTTTAATACTAATGATTTGTATAATTAATTTTAAAAAAGCCTGAAAGTCTTTTTAAAAAAAATCAGAGTAGGACATAAAAGAGAAGAGATTAAATGCAGAGGAGGCAGTGAACCTGAGTATTAAAACAGCTCATTCACATGTATAGGCAATAAAGTGATTTCCTTACAGGAATAGTTTGTGGTTTTTTTCCCCTCTGCTAAGTTGATTATTTTATTAATCTTCTAAGCAATTTGGGAAAACTCTATCCACTAGTGAGTCGTATTTTCAAAACAGAACTTTATGTGATTAACGCTGATAATACAGACGATTCCCCTAAACGTTACGGTTAAAAACTAAACCATATCAAGACGCAGTTTCAACAACACTTAAGCATGTGCTGGACTTTAGGCGCGTGAGTAACCCTGGGGCTTCCACAGGAACTGCTCAGGTACATTAATGCC